AGGATGTATCAAAGGATATAGCCTGGAGCAGCATGAAGCCTGGCTGGGGTTGCTTGGAGCCCTAGTTAAATGGCCAAGTTATTTACCTGAACTGATCTTTTTGTCATGAGCTGCAAGAGAAATTCATAAAGTCATTTAAAACTTACTGTGTGAAATGCAATTATACCTTAGACAGCAGCAAAGGTGCCCTTGAGGCCTTTTTTCTCTTTGCCCCTCTGCTTTAGAAAGTCATAACACTACATGTTGTCAGAGAAATAAAGTCAAAACATTTCTGAGCTGTACTATAGTAGAGTATTCTGCAATAAGAGATCATTTTGATTCGACCTATTTTCAACTGAAGAGCTTGGGTGTGCCATTCTATTTCAACTATTAATTACTCAAAGACAGCTTAGCTACCAGTGAAAGAGGGAAAAAAAAAAAGCAGATCATGAGTATTGAAATCTAAGTGAATTTTAATGAAAAGTTATAACAAGATAATAAATTCTATGGTAACTCCGCAAACCTCTCAAAGGTTTGAACTAAGCACACAAGGACACTTTTCAGGACTTAATAGAACTGTCCTAATTTGTGTATAAAATGAAATTTGGCACAATTGTGCCTGAATTGCACACTGTCTTTCTGGATCTGTAGTTCAGTTCTCACATAGCTAAAATATCTTCTCTTTCCAAACGTGAAAATGAGCAACTTATAAAATACGCTGTTCATTACACATGTATTATCCCAGCCTTAAAAGTTAGCCATTACCTTTTATTGGAAATACTGAAAACTGCAAAATACCCCATGAAAAATGACTGAAAATATAGCTGTTATAACAGCCAGTGGAGGAATGTTAAGGTTATTTAATTTTTTTTATCAGGATCATGTATATCTCCCTTTCCCAAAGCTCATCTGCATTTCTCCCTGTTCAGTGCAAAAAGTAAGATCAAGAAGGATTGAAAAGGGGTGCTAGAAAACTGCATATAGAGAGAACAAATAGATTTTTATTATGGCCAGAAAAACTCTTTATTTATTCATCTGGCAGCTGGGAAGTTCCACAGAGGCCCTGGAAGAGGGGGCTGCCCTGAGCAACAAGGCAGTCATTAGGTAAGAGGAGGTGACACATCTTCCTGGGGACTGTCAGAGCCACAGCAGAGGTGCCTGGGAGGTGACTGATGTGTGATCTTGAGCTCAGGTCCCATTGAGGAACACTCCCTAAGTACATCATTATCATTATTATTCAAATCTCTTCAGAAAAAAAAAAAAGTCTTAATTTTATCATTATTTCTCCTTAATTTCTCCCTTACCCATCATGCTCCATTACATGATAAATTTGGAAAGGTCACAGTAGTAATGACTTTTAAGAAAGTGTGTATATTCTTTTGAGTATCACTTCTCAAGATCCTTGGGGAAAACGACAGGGTCACCTATTTTTTAAAAGTGGATGATTTTAATACAAGAAGACAGACACTAGAAATCAAATCACTAATCAGGGACTTATATTCACATTTAATACATCCTTTTCCTCACACTGTTCCTCCTTATTTTGCTCAGAGGCACTTTCTGACACCAGAAATAGCACATTACTGATCACATGGTGTGAGCGGACCTTTTATCCAATTGTAATATGCAACAGAGTATTAGATGTGCTAGCCTGAGTTTCAGCAGTCCAAGAAGACTTAGGTGCACTATCTGAGAAAAAAAAAATGTGAAAGAAAGTAGAGTAAAGCTCATGAGCTGCAGGGGGGCAAGGCTATTTTGCTTCAGCAAAGATTGTGACTTGTAATCTCATCTGTGGTTTTCAAATAATTGGTTCTCTAGATCTGTAAGTGATACAGTTTTAAACTTGACTAAAATTTGGCTGTCAGTAGCAATGCAGCATATTTCTGTTTTCTCTGAGTGCCATCTTCAAATTTTGTGAAATGAGTGGAGATTCACTCAATCTCACTGTGATCTCATCCATAACCACACCTTCTTGAACACTAGTTATTAGTATCCTGACTTCTATGTCAATAAAAAATGAATTTCTGGTACATAAAAACAAGGTAAACCTCTGAAGCTGCCACACCATTAGGCTATCCAGCTAATAATCCCTGTTTCTTAGTGCAGTATGACCTCATGCACAGTTGTACCACCCAGAAAGCACTTCCCTGTTGGGGTTCCTGTGCTGTTCTGTGGATCCACAACAGCAGGATTCATCCAGTGCCCACCTCCTCAGCAGCAAACCCATGGCTACAGAGAAACTCCTTATCTCCTGAGTGAATGCTTAATACCTGCTTGCATGTAACATGGAAAGAGCAGGGTTCTGTCAGCACCATCATGGTGAAAGGAAGGCAGTCAGAGCTGTCATTAAAAATCTGTTTGGGGTGTCTGCATGGGTGGAAGTTTGAACAATGGGAACTTGACAGGGATGTGTGATGGGAATAAAAGACACTGAGAGATGTAGGAGAAGATGAAACAAAATCTGCACAACTACATTAACTATATAATTATAAAGGACTGATGCACTGAAAGTGCACGCTGACCTTGCCCAGCTGCTTGGCTGTGTGCTGCCTTTTTGGGACCTGACCCTTGGGGAAGCTGCCCCAGGCACAAACAGTCATATTGCCAAGGGCCAAAAGAGCCTTCCATAAAGAGAGAACAGGGAAAATGGGATCTCCTCTACCTGTCTCCTCCAGCTTCACCCCAGTATCATTTGGTTTCAGTTTAGTGCTTTAGTTTTGTCAGTGAATCTCGATGTCTGCCTGGCATGTTATGAGCCCAGTAACACTCCAGCTTAAACAATGCAGCACAGGAAGAAGGACAGCAACATTCCTCATGCCATCCCATCTGAGGCAGTTCCTGCAGCTGGAAAAAAATTCACTTTTTTTTTCCTCAGTGATTTACCACCTCAGGTCAGTGCAGTAGGCAATGCCAAAAACAAAACTATTTCTCTAGATTTCCAGGACCATGAAAGTGACTCAGGGACTGCTTGAGAGTTAATTTAAAGATGTGCTGTATAAGATGAGTTTTAAAGCTGACTCAGAGGCTGATGGTTCCACAATACTCTGCAGAGATTTATGACAGCTGGAAGCTAACACTACAACTGCAGTCAACCAACAACATTTTTGAATCTTTGGGGCATTTCCCAGAGCAAAAAGACTTATACATAGAGAGCTAACAATTCTGCTCTATGTTCTGTGTATTTTGAAGGGGCAGGAGTAAATACTGTACTGTGGTACCTCACATCTGCAAACAGAGAACTGTGAAAAATGCAGACCAGATAATTTCTGTGTTGGCAGGCACCAGCCTTCCGTGACAATTCTCAGCTAAGCATGAAGACCAGGAAAGATGAGTGCCAGGAAGATGAACAACTTCTTTTCCTGAGGTGTTAAATTTACAAGAAAGCGTGAGAACAACTACAGAGGTGTCAAGAACACCAGTGATGCATTGTATGGGGGTGTTACTATTGTTCCTGTTCTGAAAGGAGGAACAGACAAAAGGATGGGTTTCACCTTCTTGAGCAAAGCACATTTCTCAGTGTCAGTTAAAAACAATTATTTTCACTGCTAATACACAGTAGCACAGTAGAGGAGAGCTGCAGGTTAATGCTGCACATTAACTATCATTTTGGTTTGATTACTAAAAAGTATCTATCCCAAATCTAACCAAGCGCCTCCCCTTCAGCATGGCTCATCACATCTCCATGTGTTAAGACAATGCCAAAATGTATCTGTTATCAATATTATATAACCTGCTCCAGTGATCATAGCACAATCAGATTATCTCTCAGTCAAGGACCTCAGTCAAATTGCTCAGAGAATTAAGCAAGACAGATGCTGCTGTTGAGAAGTTTTCATAAGAATTGTAAAAGGCAAAGGGAAAAAGTTACTGGTTTTCTTCAGCATTAACACTTTTCAAATGGAATGTTCTATTTACTCCAATGTCAGCTCAAACTAGACATTGGAAATGAAGCCCTGGTCCGGGGGAAGGCAACAGAACTTTTTCCTTCTGATTTCAAGGAGGTTTCACAGCTTGCTTGAGATTTCCCCCTCAAACTTCAAGAGTAGATTCTTTCACTGTTTAAGAAATTTAGGTTAGGTGAAGCAGGACAAGAATGATCTCAGGCTGTGGCAAAACTTGAATATATTTGGCTGTTACATTTAACTCTTCCCTTGTCTCAGCTCCATGATAATATATTGGTGCTGTTGATAAATATTAAGGGTGGGCTCCAGCATACACTGAGCAAGAAAAGATGAAGGGTGTTTCTCTGCTTTGGAATGGACACAATGAGGAAAGAATACAGAACAACCTCCAACACACAATCCAATTAAAAAAGTTTTCATAAACTATGCATATTTTTTACAGATTTCCTACTGCAAAACAATTTAACACTTCCAGATCTGCCATTATCAAACTTTAGAGTCAGAATTGTCAATGCAGAAACATTAGGAGGCTCACTTTTGAGTACTGATAATGGCATTTACAGGAATGAGAGACCTGAACTGGATGTAGGTATTTTAGAATATGCCTTGGTGCTCATGAGACAAAATTCATTATGTATTTTGGCATGTAGATGAACTGCGAATTTAACAGTAAGGATGTAGATGTCCACAAAAACAGTAATTGCAATGATATTTAGTTTCAAGGGGATCTATCATGAAAATGGTATTTAAAAATGGTCTCCTTTATTTTGTTTTCAAGGTCATGAAATCCCTTTGTCTCCTTGTCCATTTTCCCCCCCACTCCTTAACCTCAACAAATGTTTGAGTATTCCTCTTGTAAAGGTTTATGGCAACTAACTCTGAAGGATACACACTAATACCCAGTGTGCCCTCAGAAGAACACAAGCAATTTCAGTAAGCAAACATTTTAACATTTTTCTGTTCTTCCTATCTAGCAATACGCTGTTTGCAAACAGTAGTATTGTTTGGACAAGCTTTCAGGGTCCTTAAAGATATATCTATAAGACAGGTAGTCACAATGGTCAAGAATATCTGACGGACCTTGAAGAAAATACACTTTAAAAATAATGTATGTCTTACCTGCTTATTCATAAGTATGTAGATAATGGGATTGCAAACAGTGCTGCTTTTTGCTAGGATGGAAGGTATGACGCTTGTAACTGGAGTCACAGCACCTGGCTTGCCAAATGTTGCAAGTAATGCTATAACCCCATATGGAATCCAGCACACCAGGAAACAGATAACTGTAGTGATCACCATGAACAGAACGTGGTATTCTCTTTTGCGGGCAGCATTCTTGTGGATTTTCCCAACCTAAGGAGAGGTTTAAAAAGAGAGAAAATTTAACAAGCAGAGCTGTTGGATTGACTGCATGAGCAAGCTGGGACTATTGGTCTTGGATCAGCAATAACAATCAACACTATAGTTCCAGAAGCAAAACAAATGCAAACCCAGAAGTGATTGAATGCAGTGAAAAGACTTTAATAATCTCCATCAGGCACTAGGGGAAGCTTTGCAGAGACCACACTGCATGCCAGCACAAACCTGAGTCCCAGCGGAGGTTGGAGCAAATACAGAAAGGTGTCAAAGCCTTTAGTCCTAAAGAGATGTTAAGTCATTTGCAGTTGCTTTTAAGGTACGGAATTTTGTGTAAATGTGCCGTGTTTTCATTCAAATTATGCCGGTACACAGAACTTGCTTGAGATGAAGGGGCTTTACATAGCACATCTGAACCAGCAGAAGTATTTTCGGTAAAGGGTGTGGAAATACCAGAGCAACACTGGGACTGTGCTTGGTATCTCTGTCCTTGGATCTTTTCAACCCTAGATAAGGCCTCAGCTGGCCTGGCATAGTGTTAGCCATGGTCATACTTGGAGTGGGAGACCAGAGAAGCCGTGCTGAATCACTTGATCAAGTTCTAAATGGTAGGATTCATTCCTTCTAGACTATTTCTTACAGGTATTTAACCATTTTGGTAAATGGGTTTCACTCCTGATAATGATCAGGAACAGATTTTTGTACTCTTAAAAAAAGTGTGCTGAATGCTGATTCATTGTGGTTCATTGGTTTTTTTGGGGAAATGGAGCAGAATTGGATAAGCAAGAAAAGCAGATGTAAATGGACAGTTTCAAAGTGATGGTACAAGAATCTATCTTGTAACCAGGAATTTGCTAGTAGTTACAGTGTATGGGCAAATCTGCTGTGGAAGTATTTATAATCTGTGCTTCAAAATTTATTCTCCTTTAACCTATTCTGGATTGAAGCATCATGCCCTTTGGGAGTCTAGAGATCTAAGATAAAGCTTTAACATTAAAATAACAGCCAACTTTTATTTTTAAGCCTTAGTGTGAATATATTTTTCTGTAGAGAGCTGCAGAATGCTCTTCCAGTGTTTGGGCAACTGAGTGCATTGGTGGCAACAGTGAGGAATGCTCATTCCCTAAAAATCAAAAGCAAACTCTGCAAGGAGGTTAATTTTAGAGACTCTCTCTCCACTGACTCTAGATGGAAACTCAGCTCACTGGTCTCCTGAGGTTATAGTTGATTCCTCAGCTTTACCCCAGCGTGTGTTTAGCAAACCCAGATGTGCCAGCAGGACTTGAGGAACTATTCAAATGTTTAAACTATATTGATTGAGCCTTGTACTCAGCCAAATCTAATTTATGTCCACTTGAAGGTCTTCTTGCCTCTTGAATGCAGCACTTGATAGTAAATTGCACCCAGGGGAATTAAGCCCATATAAAACTACGAACACAAATAAGCAAAAAAGCTGCTCTGTGTAATGGAAAACATACAAACTTTACTTAATCTAATAATAAAAAATAAGTTTTAAATCAATAGGTTTAAACTGATTCAAGTAAATTAATAGAGCACAGTTAGTGGTGGAAGTCACCAACCATCCCAGTCAAATGTCATTTGCTGTTGCCTGACACATACCTGGTGCATGCCAAGAAAATAGAGCTTTTTGTACCTCTTTGTAGTGTGGGTCTTTTTGCATAATGTATGTGTTTATGTAACAGATTGTGAGTTAAACACATATATAGTGCTTGTATAAGGCAAAGTAATATGGTTACAGTTTCTTTTTAGTTCATTATGACTTCAGGCTTCTAGAGCGCTTGGTTCTATCTGGAGTTTCAATAGAAATGTTCCTGTAAATGAAACACACACTAGCTTTGCCTGTCCAAAACTAGTAAGTATTTTTCCTGACTATTTTTTAATGATTTTCCACAAAAAGGCAATAACAAAATAAAGTCTCTTCTTTCTGAGAAGACTTAGGACTACGTTTTTTGTAAGACTTCAACCTGTTTATTTTATAATTACTTTAGCTTGAAGAAAAGATTAATAATAGATAATGGTCCAATCCTGTATTGCTTATTTGAACTAAATTTTTAATGACTAATGGGAAATTTCCCTGACTGATGAATCCAAGATCCCATGTGAGCTACAGCTATGCTACAAATCAAATATTAACCCAGGAATGCAAAGCCTCAGTTAGCCATGGCATCCACAACTGAAGATCTTCAATAAACACAGAAGGATCAGGCAACACATTTTTTCTCTGTGTTTAGATGCATATCTTGAAGACTTTGTAAGAGTTTACCGTCTGCACAGACAAAACAGAGACCATAAATGAAGGAAGGAAAGATGTCTAAAAGTAAAGTGGCTATGGATGTGATTTTGGCATGTATCCTTCCCCTTTCACATCTTTAGGTCATTTCCATAGGAAGGGAAGTTTTGAAATCATGTACCATATTTGTCCTCACACTTTTGGTTTCGTTGTCTTTGCAGTTTTGCAGCCTACCTTTAGAAGGTGTTACCTTTAAAATTTGTCTGTTTATAGGTACTGGAAGGCCTCCAGCAAGATGTAACCTGGGTTCATGTAACCTACAGAAAGATTACACTTCTGCAGGTGAAAAAGCAGTAGATATTTTAAAATGAAAATAATTCTATTTTTTATTTTAAAACTACTGGAAAATTTACACAATTGCTACACTGTATTTTCAGTAGTCAAATGGAAATGCCTCCCTGGATATCCAGCTGGTAGAAGAGCATCAGATAGTGATGACAAAAAATAGATTTGAATAATATTCTAGAATAGCTGAACTTGTGAATCTCTGTCTAAATGCGAACATACAGAGTATATATAATATGAATTTAAAATACTTAGAAGATCTAACCCACATTTTAAAGTGACACAAGAAATACTGGCCAAAAATTGGGATCAGATTGTACTTATGTAGGATTTGCTATAAATTCAGCTGTTTTCTCCGGAACAAAGATCATCTCCGGCGATATTTAGCAATATAAAGGTTGGGAAACCACTATATTTAAAGAAAAGAAGATTGGGGGATTGGTTGTCGAGGGGGTTTTAATGAGGAAATTGTGTTTCTCCCCTGCTTTCATCCTGGGAAGTAACAGAAATGTTTTGGTTTTTCAGAACTCAGCTGGAGGCAGCGAGAGGCAAGCTTGTCTAATCTCAGGCACTGAGCGTAACAGCGGCACAATTATCTCTGGTCTGGATTTGCCCTGCAGCCATGCTGCATCTCACATATACCCAACACTTTTTTCAAGTCAATCTGACACAAAAAATACCACTACTTAGATCACTAGGGCAGCATGCTGAGCACATACATTAGATGTGACAGGCCACAGGGTGAGGGAGAAGCCAGGGTGCCATCAGTGAGGAGGCTGGCATGGTAGGAGTGTCCTCAGAAGGAGGACAAGTGACACATTGATTGGTTGACCTCAAAAGCGGCATCTGCAGCTGGCAAGATGTAGCAGATACATTACTCAACAAGTGATGGGCTGCATTGCTATTCCATGTTTTGGAAAAGATGAAATTGGGGAGCTCTGAGCAGAGCATAGAAAATTTCAATAGCACTGGTGAAAATCTAGAGAGGTCGTAAACCAAAGGGGACCTTACAACGTGGATATGGAGGTCGTTAGTAAAAAGAGATGCAAAGAGCTTTTGCTATAAAGCTCTTTTGTGGAGATTGTTAGGTTGGAGATAAAAGAAAATTATTCAAAATATCTGTTATGACAGGTACTTTGCCAGGAGAGAGAAAAGCCTTTAAACTGGATGCAGGCAAATGTGTGGGCCTGTCATCACAAGGACCCACAGAAAAGGTATGACCTAGAGGAAGCCTGACTTCCTCTAAGGAGAACAAGTCTGTCTTTTCTTTAAAGAGAAAAGAGAATGGGTCTGTCCTTCCAGAAAACAAGTAAACCTTCCAAACACATAAACACTGTTGTACTGATAATAGGACTGTAGGTCATAGGAAATTATTTTAAGGTAACAGGTTCTGGTTACCCAATCTAGTAAGTCAAGATCTCATCACTGTCCAAGTCAATGGGTTCAGTCAGCCTGTTCCTGGAGGGAGCAGCCATTTGGCAACCACAGCTGACTCCATGGGTTTTTGTCAGACCAAACACTGCAGCTTTCATGCCCAGACTAAAGAAGACAGCAGCTACCTGCCTCTGGTCAGGGATTTTCTGCTTTAAAAATTTTTTTTAACCATCAAACAGCTTCATATGGAGAAAAGCCCTGAGCAGCTCCTTACCCAAGGGGACAGCCTGCCCCTTCCTGTGCTCCAGAGCCAAAACTTCGACCTACTGCAGCCCCTTGCTCAGCTCTCTCTGGATTTATCTGGGTATGACTTATGGGACCAAGGGCATACTGGTCACGCTTACACCCACTCAGAAGAAGGTGCCAGGAAAGATCTGAATGTTTGTTCACAGAGACTGGGGGAGCTGCAAGGCCGACAGTGCCAGAGGCACATATACAGTCAGTCCATCATATTCCCATCACCCATGGGCAAGCTGGGGTTTTTTACATATGTAAGGCAAGGGAGCTGGGCCAAAGTTTGCTGTTAAGAAGGGGAAGCTTCAGTGATGAAGATCTAATCTGAGTGTTTTGAATTCCCTTGTGTTTTCTTTGTCACATTTACCCTAGTCTCTCCTCCTTACTTAATGTAGCTATGTGCTTTTTCTCAAAAAGTATTTCCTTCATATTTTAATTGCACCCATTTTCAGCTGGGAACATCTTGAAAGGTTGTGAAGAACATATGGCAACCCATCCATCTAACCACTAGATTGAGAGAATATGTACCATTCAAGCCACTTCAAGCAGGGGCCATGTACACCATAACATCTTAGAAACCAGGGATCCTGTTTGTATGTTTTGTTCTTCAAGTCACTTTCTGTTTCTCCAGATATTTATTAAGACAAAAAATAGTATCAGTTCCTATACTCTGTGTACCTAAATAGTGGGTGCTGTAAACATCCTTTATGTAGCTCACTCTAAACGAGCAATA